TCCTGCTAATTATATTCCTAGGCCCTCCTCTAAAGTGGAGCAAATAGGATGTCCTGGAAAGCAGCATTTCTTGTTTAAAACTGTTGAGCATAATTCTCTGAATGACCTCTCAGTGCTTATCTTCTGTTTGAATAAGGCAGCTAATCTTTTATTCCTGAATAAATTTTTTTCATTCTATAAACATGAACAATTTTGGAAAATATGTATATTAACTCTGAATTTTGTTCTAAAATAGAAAAGTTAAAATCAATACCAAGTTTGCAATATTTTGAAGGTCAAGAGAAGAAATGAAGTGTCAGAAAGTCCTGCAGTAGAAGAAACAGTGAAGAGGAGAAGAGTAGAAGTTGGAGCAGAGACTTCATGCCCCCAGTCGAATATGGACAGGTCAGCTGACTACAAAATAGTCTTCCAGGACACATACCAATATTTTTAATGTCTCTTGTACCTTCCTCATATTTCATTCCTGTGTAATCCTTTGCCTTGTTTGTCTTCTTCCTTCTCTTCCATAGGTGAGAGAACGTAAGCAGCATTGCCCATGTTTTTGGAAAGTTGTCATATGCTTTCAGGTTCCCATGCCATTAACTGGAGATCTTGCTGGTTTTCTCCTCTCTGTTAACATTATCTGTAGAATCACAACAGGATGAGAACTCAGCAACTAGATGAAGCAGTGCACTACTGGCTTGCACACCTTGATGGCAAGGGAAGAAGTAAGAACAGTTTTCTATCTGCATCCCAGCCTGTTCCTCTGAGTGGGCTGATGAATGCTGCCTCTCAGCTTGAGGCTGAGGTCTATATCTGTGGGTTTCACAGAATCACTGAGGTTGAATGGGACCTTTGATATCATCAAGTCCAACTGCTTCTGCTCAAGCAGAGTCACCGAGAACAGGTTGCCCAGGATGTGTCCCCTCAGGTTTTGAGTGGACTCTAAGGATGGAGATGCCACAACTTCTGTGGGCAGCCGGTTGCAGTACTTTGCCACAGCTGCAGTCAAAAAGTTTTTTCTTGTGTTTAGATTTAATTTCATATTTTGAAATTTGTGCCCTTTGCCTCTTGTCCTGACAGAAGGTGCTGCTGAGGGGAGACCAGCTCCCTCTTCTTCCTTCCCTCCTATCAGGTGTACATTAATAAGATTGCCTCTTCTCCAGGCTGAACAGTCCCAGCTCTCCCAGGCTCTCCACATATGAAAAGTGCTCCAGTCCCTTCATCTTCTTGGTAGCCCTTTGCTGGGCTCACCCCAGTCAGTCACAGTCTTGTTCTGGACAGAACACACAGACTGGCCCCAGCAACCCTGAGCAGAGGGGCAGGATCACCTCCCTTGAGCTGCTGGCAAAACTCTTTCCTACTGCAGCTCAGGATGTTGTTGGCCACCTTCAGCACGAGAGTGCAATTCTGGCTCATGGTGGCTAACTTCAAGATTAGATCTTCATTACTTTTCAGAGGCAGACCCATTATTAGTTATAGTCTAGCAGGCTTCTTTCTTCCATGGAGTGTAGCTTTCTAAAAAAAGAAAATTTGTGTCTGTGCTCAGTATTCACAAGTATGTGGCAGACAGTCCCAGATCCAGCGTTGTGATCGGGTGTGTTTATACTCACCTCTCCCCTTACATGGTGATGTACAGACTGTGTCAAATAGTCTTCCTTGTTGCCTTATATTCTACCCAATTCCCAAATATATTTCATGCAGAGATTATAACAGAAGTCTGAAGTCAGATCTTTTCCTACTCATACAAATGTAGTCCTTTAATTTCCCTCCACCTCCATCAGTTTCTGGTGATAATAAAACTGCTGAAAATGGGTGAAGAATGAGACCAGGAGCCAGAATTATTTCTCATCTCTTTTAGCCAAGACACAACTTTTGATTCATAAAGTACAAGGCCATAAAGAGCTGTTTCATGATCCAATCTGGCAGTTCTCTTTTAGTCTTGCGTCTTGCCCCAGAAGTTCCACTATTCAAGAAAATATTAAAACAGTAAATAATTTTAAAATGTGTTCTTGATTTCAAAATTAAATTGGTGAGACATCAAGTTCAAGCCTTCTGTCATTTTTTAATGATTACTCCACTAGGCTAAAGAGCTCATTCAGTCTGAGCATTCCCCCTCCAGGAAGGAGGCTGTCTACTGTAATCTGAGCACCTCTTGATTTTTTTTTTCTTTTTGGACAAGTTATGTGCTCGTAATTCCTTGTGGAGGATTTGGATTTGGGTTTTCTTGGGGTGCTATTGAGTGCTGAGCTATCAGAATCTCCAGGTGTCATTCCCCAGTGATACTGATCAGCTCAAAGAGCACTATTTCCTGTGTGAAGTCAGGATTGTTTTTTTGCCATGGGCATCACTTTGTAACTCTCTGTACTGTTGCAGTTGTTATCCCGCAACGTCCCGTCCGGTCGAGGAGGCACAGAGACAAACACACACCCCGTCTCTGGGCCAATGAGCACTGACACCAATATGAGGATGCTGCAAATGGCGTTTAATGCTGTGCGACACAGTACTATATGGTGTGGGTTCACTACGTCACTTCCGCCTGCTTACATCACAGGCTAAGTGCTATTGGCTACTAGCAGAGAGAGAGGGGGGTGTCTTACCTTTCCGTACAGCCCGATATCTTCCGGCCGCCAGACCCTATCTTACTACATTGTACAGAGTTTCCTTTGTTGTTTTATTGCTCCTCTTGTTAAGATCTTTCTATGATTCTTTGCTACCTTCCCTTCTCTTTGTGTCAGTAACCCTGTAGGATTTGCAAGCTTTCTCAGCTTGCTGCTCATCCCTGTTTCCATATCATGTAACACTTTTTAACTGGTTGTTGGTTTTACTAGAAAAGCAGAAAGCCTAATACTGGAATGAGTGCATATTTTCATTTTTTAAATTAGACTTTGAAACATGAGTACAAATATAGATTAAGGATATCTATCTTGTTGGGTAGAGGTGCTAAAATCCCGATTTCTAATGAAATACTTTGAATAGCCATTTACAAGATTGCTTCTTTTTTGTGACTTTTTGTAAACTCAGTTCTAACTTATTTGATTTATTTTTAGAACTGGAGCCAAGTGCGTTCACCATATGAGTAAAGCAAAGCATGGATTTGAAACGGTAAGCTACAGAATATTCAGAAAGATGCAACGGCATCTGTTTAGTCTTAGATTCTTAAAGTGGCAAACATAAAAATGCCTTAAGGTATTTTTTTCCCTTTTCACCTGCATCGAGACATTTGTGATTCCTGCTCATCAGAATTAGCCAAGGGATAAGTTTTACCAGGAGATGACACAGGCTTTTCTAACTGTCAAGCTCCAAAATCTAGGGATGAGCTCAGCTTCTCAGAGATGAATCTGAAGGATGCCCTGCCTTGTCTTCAAGACTCCAGTCCTTTTTTACCTCAGATGCCACTTACGTGCAGAACTTCATGAAGGGCCAACAGTGGGTGCTGGCACCTTGGCACTGGCTTCAGTGCGAGGACTTTCTGCTCTGCACCCAAGTCCTTTCTCTGTGCAGATAACCTTGCAGGCATCTCCCTCTTCTTGAAACAGTGCCGTACTTTTTCTCCCTATGGCATCGTAAGGCAGATTTATGATGGGATTGTTCCAGAGGGATTGGCAGTTGCTTTCTAAACCCACTGTTCTCCAGAGACCTTGTCAGGATGGGAAGATTCTTTCTCTTTTAGCCCCCAGGCCTAAAAGCCTGCTCTAACAGAGCTTGCTGCTAGGCACACCCTTTAAGGAACAGGGCCTTTCCTAACACCTCTGTTCTCCTCTTCCTGGCTGTTGCCCATCCTCCCAAATGTCCCAGTGCATTTCATCTATTTTCTGGATACTGATACCCATTCTATATTTAGTTCAAATCCCTGCCACACTGTTACCTTCCTGACCTTTTTCCTTGTCCAACTCTGGAGAGAGTATTTTCCAAGGAGGCAAACTCATTCCTCATGGGATTGTTCACAAAGAAAGTTGCCTGGTGGTATAAAAGGAACAGCTTCTTCTGCTGTTCCTTGAGAGAGGAACACTTGCATCAAATACCTGGATTTCTCTGTGTTTCTACAGGATGATGTGCTGCCAAGAGTAGGAACAAAGGTTCCTCTACACAACTGGTGGAGACTTTATGTAGATGTCTTCTGTGGAATTCCCAGAAATCTCAGACGGACAGGGCATACTGCCTGCTTGCTCCTGTAGACCTGGTTTCAAGAGGCCAGTCCCAGCATAGTTGCTCTTCAGGGCTTCACTGTGTATACAATAGCCTGCAAATTCAGGTGCTACTAGTTCCATGGTTGCCTTCAACCTGCACAGATAAACTGTATTGAAACAATCCTCACCTTGTTGTAAGCCCAAGATGTTATTTCAGAAGGGGAGGGGTTTTGACAGGTTTGTTGGATTCTCAAAATAGGAAGAAGACTGTCTGGTAACTCCTCAGGAGCTTCTCTGAAACAAGCAGGCTTGTCTCTAAAACCTGTATCACTTTTTTTTCCCCCTCAAGTTTACCTTTGCAGGATTAGTGACAGTTCTCTACGCATGTCCTTTCTTGGCTTCTTTCCTCAGGTGCTCCAAACCCTCTGTTGTTGGGATAAGGGTCATCCTCTGAAAGATGCTTTTTTATTCCCCACTTTGCTATAATCACGTCCCCAGAATGCCTCTGTTCCTTGTACAGTGGCTGAATTTCCCACATATTAGAGTCCTTGAAAGCTGGAGCTCAGGGTTAGCATGTTGGACCCTGAGAAAAAATGTGGTAGGTGGCAGACATCACTGTAACCTCATATTGTGTTAACTAATGTGGGAGAATGTGTCTTAAGCTCTTTACAGGTAAACTGGAACTATGACAAATGAATCATCAACTCAGCAAATACCAGTTCAGGTGAGAGGAACCTTCTGCAGAACAGATGCTTGTGCCACCATGACTTGTACCTGAAATTTGCACTAGTCAGGGCACTGTTACACTGAGAGGCATGTCCAGACACAAACTGTTGTCTTTATGAATACTTGACCAGATATCATGGTACCACATTAAATCATGGGCAGATGACCTCTCCCTTATGTGCATTTCTAGCAGATCAGAGCCAAGTGCTTCTGTGACATGCTTTCCATTTGGTTTGCTTTCCATTTGGTTTCTTTTGGTGTTCAGGCTGAGAAGAAATATTAGGTTTATGAAAAAACACATTAGTAGCTCCTGTACTTTATTGGGATTCTTGTGATCATTCCTCCTGGGCTCTTGTTCAGTTTATCAGCAGTGTATGACTTTGGATCCAAATCCACCTGGTCTTTTAGACTGTATCTCAAAAAAGAGAAAGGTTTCGTTAAACATGATGGAAATCTGTCTGCTTACATGGGATTGACTTTACAACATTGGCACAGGGTTCAGAAGGAGGAGCATGGAAGTGCTGTGGTCACGTGGCTGTTAAACAGATTGCATTTTAAGCTCTCGTCCAAATATCTTCTGGGCCTGGGATTTTGACAGTAGACTCTCTGGTCAGGATGGCTGGAGTCGAGCCTGCGCATCTTTCCACTTACCAAATGCACCAGTAGAAGTCAAAGAAAGAAACAGAACTGAGAGATGCTCAGCCTGTCACTGCAGATAATTTTCTTAATTTATTTTATCCTCTGAGACTAAACTGCAAAGATCTGATGGCATCTAAAGTTTGGAATTTTGCTTGAACTTGAGCTTAGTGCAAGAGAAACACCACTGGGGAGTGGATCTGTTCTTCCATTATCTATGACAAAGTTGTTTCCTTCTCTCTTAAAGAAGCTCTCCTGCTGATTTTGTTTGCAGTCCTTTCTTTTGCTGATAGCCTTCCTAATGGGTATTCCTGCCTCACCTCTGGCTTCTGGCATTTTCCACTCTTCTCCCTTCCCTGTTACTGTTTCCTATGACTATGTCCTAGCAGGCCTCATGCCTAGGGCTGTTATTTCCCACAGCACCTCTGTTCATGTTTTTAAAAATCTCTGTCCATGCCATAGCTGCTGTTATTCTTTCACTATCTGATATATTAAAGTCTACTCAATGAATTACAGCTTTACATTAGGCCTGTGAATGTCCTAAGCAGGGAGGAGTAGAAATGTCTTGGTGAAGAAAGTCCTCATAGTAGCATGGGGAAAAAAAGTCACAGAACAAGAGAGTAGACCTTGCCTTTTAGTTCTTAAAGCAAGCAAACAAAAATCTCCTGTGCAACAAAATTTTACATTGTGTAACAGTTCCTTGATTCCTTTTACTTTCAGAATTCCTCCAAAGAAAATGAATGTGAGTTTAGTCCAGCATCCCTTACCGTGGGCTGTAACCAAGTGAGTTTCTGTAAGTAAGGAATTCTTGGATTTTTTCATTCAAATTAGTCATTAAATCAAAAGCTGCAAGGATTATATTGGTATTGGTTTTCTTTTAAAAGTAATGTTTGGTATTTTCCAGCATGTGAGATTAGGAATTACAACCACCGTAAAGCAGTAGGTCACCAATGATTTTGGCACAGACTCTCATCGCGTGTAACAAGTTCCCACTCTTAGTGCTAGGCTATGTAGCTCTTTCAGAGCTAGACTGTGCTCCCAGAGAGGGGAACCTACCTCCAAATCGGACTGCATCTGCTTTGAAACCTCCCTGGCGTCACGTCAGTCAAAGTCTGAACATATCTCTCAGTTTCAGGGTTTGCTGGTGGGCGTGTAGAGACTAAGCTTGTGTTTTTATCCTTGCTGCTGTTTCTTCTAGGGAGAGCCGTGGAATCTGACCTGGAACAAAGAGCAGCAACTGGTCAGGCTGAGGGTGCAAAGCAGCTACTGCAGCAAATGGACCAAGTTGTAAACAAAGGAAAGGTGGAATCAGAAGGAAGAGGTCTCTCAAAGTTCTGGAGAAGGTACTAATACTGTAACCATGAGCAGATGCAGTCCTGTCTATGTCCGAGCCTGTGTCAGAGGCTGTGCCTGGTTCTGGCAGTTCAGGTGATTCTGCATTATCTTGAAGGATGGATACATCTTTTGTGTAGTTAAACCCAAGTCTCCCAAGGCAAAGGAACACTCAGGGATGTCTTTTTTTTTTTTTAATGGTAAGGTGAAACTTGCCCAATAAATGTTCCTCTTCTGAGCTGCCTTTGGGAAAAAAACTCAGGGAAAGGTTACTGCGCAGTCCCAGCCTCCATCCAATGTGGCTTTTATCAGCTGAGGAGTGCCATGTCCAGCCTGATTTCTAAAGGACTCGAACACTCCCCCTTCTATCAGGGCCTTCCTGGGACAGACCTTTCGTCCCATTAAGGCAAGTATGAGCTTTATTTGGCCACTTAGCACCTGTGGCCTTTGTAACTTTGGCTCCCAAAGACACCATTTTAAACTGAAATTAAAGTAACCATGCAAACAGTTGCTGGGCATTGCTGACTAAACGAGTGTTCTAAAGCTGTGGAAGATGTATCCCGCAAGAGTCCTCTGTTCACTGCACAGCACAAGTTGAACAGCGGCAGTAACTCTTTGTTTGATAGGTGTTAGTTTTGGAAGAAGTAAAACTTGTTAATCATAATGTATGCCTGTCCCTTGAACTATTGAGACTAGACTGTTATAGCACAAGTTATTAGTTCTCTTTATTTTTTCAGTCTTACTCAGTCTTATTTGCTGGGGTTGTGTGTTTCTGGTGGTCAGAACTTACCTTTTTTTTTTACAATTATCAGAGAAGTATTTTAAGTGTAACGTGCTCTTCTTGTTGTTTCTGCAGCGTAATCTTTTCTCCACTACAGCATCTTTTTGGTGGAAAGAACTGACCTGGAAGTATTAACAATTGTGGAAAGGTAAACTTGTAGCCTGAATTGTGGGTAGTGTTGTTCCTTTTGTAATTCAGCTTTTCACATTGCTTGTCTTAGCTATTAAATGCTTTAAATGAAATTCTACTTTCTTTACATTTTCAAATTAACATACTGAAGATGTTGGCTTAGAATATCTTTTTCTTCACAACCTAGAGTTTTTAGTAAAAGAGCAACAAACTTTAAGATTGTGATCCTTGAGTGTAATAAATCGGGAACTGTACATTTAAAAATCATTATATGAGATTCTAATAAAACAAATATCAACTTTGAACTGTGTTA